AGGAAACACAAGCATGTGCCTGATCATTATGGCTAGTCTAGCAAAACAAAGCTAAGGAAAATAAATCTCACATTGTGACTTGCTCATTTTATGGGATGGCTATACGCCTAGGTGATTCTCCTCTGTGAACGTCCGTGTTTTGTTCTGTTCCTTGTACCAAATGGCAGTCCTGAAAACTGAACTTAATTTGGATTAAAGGCATTGACTCCTTTGAATCACTTACATGAGCTGTAATTTTGCCTGAAAGTGGTAAGTAGTGCTTAGACTGTAAGACTGTTAGAATAGAGGTGAACTTTTTTCCTGTTTTTGTTTCAGAGGGAGAGGCAAGTGGGAAGGGCTAAACTAAATTAAATACATTACAGATCTCGTATTAGAGCCATTTAAGCAGGTCCTTTCGTACTTTAGCTTAGTTCTCTATAGCGTTATAGCTTTTAAAGACATTTTTCATTTCTGTGGGCTGCCAGATGTGCTGCTGATACCTTCTGATCTTAGATAGTTTGACATTGATTTTCCCAGCACACGCCAGGGTTGAAATCTGGTCTGTAACTCATCCAAATGATCTATTCATAACAAAAAGTGCCTTCTGGCAGTTGCACCACAGCTGAATATTGTTAAACTGAATTCATAATTTCATTTGTTCCTGATTGTTCTATAATGTTTACATATCTTACATATTTGTATGATCTTTTATGAAGCACACACTGAGGTTAAATCCTCCCAGATAGAACTTTTTTTCTCCTTTTTCTCCCTTTCAGAAGGTGTTGAACTCTTTTTCCTTTCACATGAGCAGGAATCTTGGAACTGCTTAATGATCATCTCATCTGAAATGATGGGCGGAGCAAGTAGGAATGTCTGTGTTGGGGAGCAAGGTGACATTTTCGTGCACAAAATGATTCTTCCCCACCCACAGATAGAATAACTGTGAGGTGGGATTGCTTGTCCAAGTATAACACTTCTGTAAGTAAGCATCATTACAGATGAGGGCAATAGTCTCCGTGTGAATATGTTCAACTGAAATATTTATAGATGCTGCTTATGACTCAAAGTGTGAATAGGTTCAGATTCTTCTCCTCTCCCGTCTTCAAAGTCCTGCTGCAATAATTGTGCAGAGATCATTCTCACGTCTGGCAGAGGATATCCTCTTTGTGTTTCAGTTTCACTATGTGTAAAAAATAATAATAAACATTAATATACCTCACAATAGGAGTGTGTCACAGGATGAAGTTAAATAGAAGGCAGAATATCTGAGGCTCCCTTTGAATTCATATTGTAACTTTCAAAGAAGGATGACATCTCTTATTTGCTTTAAAAATAAAAATCAATTGCCCATAAATCTAAAACAGATGTTGTTTTTCTACTAAAAAGATTAAGGATTTTCTTAAGCTCATTAAAGGAAAAAAAATAATGTCACCACATTGATCCTCCCATATCATCATAAGAATGTCTGAAGGCAGGAGATAGCTATGAAAAGGACATGGTATTAGTGTAGCAAAAATAGCTCTGGGTCTGGCAAACGGTGCTTATCTTCTGCGTTCTGTGGCAAACTTTGCACCATTTCTTCAACCTCACGCTTGTGTCTAGTCGTGTGTTTTAGTGGGATTGGGTGGTATGTATACTCAAAGAGAATTTGGCCTTTTTATTCTGAAAATACAAATGCCAGCTGCTGCATGGCTTGAAAAACTTAAGCATCGTCCAAATATTTCAAGGAGAGGAAATGGAAACCATTTGCTATTTCTTACGCATATATCTGCAGAAGAATGTTCACCCTGTTGCTTCTCTAAGATTGTGTTCTGTTTTGGGGAGTATGTGATTTCCCAATTTTCTAACTTTCCATGTTCATCAAAACCCAGAGTCTGCAAAATGTGAATTAAACTCTTCAAGTGGAAAGACAAGATAGGAAATCTGATGATGCCATATGTGGTATCAATAAAGCATGATAGCCAACGTTCCTTATTCCAGTTAAAAGTTCCCACAGCAGAAAAAAATGATAACCTAGCACGCTCCTGGCTATATTCATCAGTGTGGCGACACGCAGCTCCTTCGTTTGCTCTGTTTATGTGTTGAAAGTTTGCTGGCATGTGTACAAACGGTACTTCAGTGGTAAGATGATAGGAAAGTCTCAGTGTGATTTGAGAAGAGTCAGCACGGAAATATCCTGTCCTGGCAAATTCCTGGGGGTGTCCAAAGTATCAGGGCAGAAGTCCTAGCTCCAGGGAGAGTTTGGTCTTTTACTCCATCTAAACCTTTTAGTGCTACCAGACATATAGGACAATTTGGTAAATTGTGGACTAATGACAGAACAAAGATTTTTTAAAATTTTTCTAAACTATATTGCCTTTCTCAATGTTTAGAACTTCCCATGTGTTCCCAAAGCATCTTTGTGCCTTTGATATCCTTAAGAGTATTTGGTTTCTTCAGACTACATAGCGGTTGGATTTTAAGCTTGGTATGTCTGGTGTCGCTAGATTCTTCCTCCAGAAATCACAGTAGAGTACAGAGTACTGCAAAGTTTGCTGCTTCAAAAATTTTTTGAGATGAGACTTCCAAAGCCCAGACCCCTTCTGCCCTAAATGTTCCTTTCTACCTGTAGAGACACATTGTGTCCACAGCTCTAGGACGGGACTGAGACAGGACGTTTGGGTTCTCAGGATGCTTCCATCACCAGTTTGGAGCAGATGCTAACTGGGAATTTTGACCTTATGCTGTGTTCTCAGTAAGTTCAGTGGCGTGGAATTGGTCTGAAAATCAGGTTATTTTAGGATTTGCTTTCTGTTGCACTTCATTCTGTTACTGAAATTGTAAAAGAAGGCTTGCCCCATAGAGGTGTTGAAAACTCAAAGCTGTATTAATTTGTAGTTTTAAGAGAAAACAAAACAAAACCAAATGTCTTTGCAATGTTTTTGACGTAGCTTCGTCCACTTGGAGTCATAAATGCCTTTTCAAATTCGGTGCAGCTATTCTTGCTCTTTAATGGGTTCAGTCAGCCAACATCTTATGCAGACACGCACACATGTGCATGCAGACATCTTCAGCGAAAGTAAATCGGTGTGTTAGAGCTGATAGTAGAGAACTGACTGAGATTCTCATATTTGTTAGAGGTGTTCCTGAGAGGAATCAGGATTGCTTGAGACTGTAGTGATGTATTTTGAAAAACCAGTTTTTGTTGTTTTGTTTTCCTACTTAACTTCATGACAAGAATCAGCTGTAATGTAAGTTTATGGCTTGAGCAGACTATTGTTTGTGCAGAAACCTCCCTGGTGTATTTACTAAACATGTGTGATGCACAAATGCCAGTAAACTGCATCTTGGAGCATATTCCCTAGCTGCTAGCAAAAACTGTCTTTAAAGTTTGGCCTGTTCAAATATAGGGAGAACGTGCATGCAATTTAACAGGCACAGGCCGGAATTTTTAATTATTTGTCCTCAAAACTATTTTGACATGAAGTCTGAGCCTTATTCAGATCAATAGCAAACCTTAAGCATCCCTCAATGGATCCAGAATTTTGCTAATGAAGACCAAGGTCTGAATACAAAAAAAACCCATTGTCCCATTGACTACGACCTCTGTTGTTTCCTCCTCTTGGAGCACTTCCCACCTTCTAGAGAACAACGGTCGCAGATTTAGGCATCCCCTTAACGTGGACTGGTGGGAAGTGCATCCGTGCAGCAGGTGATGGTGCAGGACTGCACTGCTGTTCTTCTTTCCCAGAGAAATCCTGGCTGTGTGTACATCGAATGTATATACCTCTGTTGGTCCTGGAACAGAAAACAGGAATCACGCTTTAAAGAGAAGACAGGTAGCCTGCCAGGGGAGTGGGTGACCTGTCTTCTCCAGCCCCTGCTCAAGAATTGTTCAACCAGTGCAGGATACATAACTAGGCTTTGTAGTAAGTGCTAGGACCCAAGTTCCGCTGCCCCATTCCCCGCCATGTGCTGTGCCTTGCTTGCTAGACTAGATGGCATATCTCCTTGTGCTTTCTTTCTGGACCAGAAAGGAAGTCTAGAAAGTCTGTCTAGTCTATTGAAAGTGGAAAAGCTTCATAAGAGGAAGGAAAATGCCCTCCACCCTTAAAAATTGGTAATTTGCATCTTCTGAAGTAGAGAAAGGAAATGAACCAGTGTCTCCCACATCCTGAGTGGTCTAACCACTAAAATATTGCATAGAAGCAGGATAACACTGTGTACGTGGGTGGTGTGTTTGTATGCAAGCAGTAGAATACCATCCTGTTCAGTTTCTGAGAGATAAGGCTTAGATATCTGCCTTGATGAAAGGGTTCAACAGGTGTGAAGGAAGGAGTGGCTTCTGTAAAGCTAAGCCTAAGTAAGGGGCAGAGTCTAATGTTTACTTGGCAAGTGTTTCCTGTTGGCTGACACAACTGAATCCCCTTTGCAGCCTCTACCCGAGGCACCCAACTCTCCTGGCAGCACCGTGAGAGCACTGGAGCTTGGGGTTCCACAGCAAGCCTCGGAGTCCATGGCAGGTCTTGGAGGACCTCGCTGTCCTCTGTCAGCAGGATTCCCTCTCAGTTGCTGACTCTGGAAACATACAGGATGAGTGCTGTGTAAACATTCGTTGATGATTGCGTTGGCTGTATTTTCTGATGACAGTCAAGCAGAGTGTTGTATCCAAATGTTCGTTCTAAGTAAGTAAGATGTTTTTCTGGAGAAGGAGAGCAGTTTCTCTGTCCACATAAAATACAGCTCCTGCTCTGAAATATGTTACTTTCTCAATGGCCAGACCCAGCTGTTCTGGAAATGGGAGTGAATGGGGGCAATTGTGCAATCTGTAGCTGTGTCACGTCATCCGAAAATGATGCAAATGGAGGACGTATTTCTGCACATTCTCCTTAGAGTAAATCTCTACCTGTACTCACATTGGTAACTCCAGTGGAGGAGCAGGAATCATTTCAGTATTGGACTGATAGCTGCCAAACATTAGTTGTGAAGTACGTACTTTGCCAGGTACTTTGATTGACTAAAGCTTTCTCTTGCTTTGCCAGGTCAGTGAAACACCCATTTTTGTGCCTGGTGTTTGGGGACCTTACTTCTCTGCTATGGTACCTGGATTGTGGTTGAATGAAGGAGGTCAGAGTGCTACAGGAAAACTGGTAAGTGTTTGGAGACACCAACGGACTCCAAGATGGGAGGTTTGCTGCAGCTGCTGTCATTCAGGGTCGCTTCACTGTCAATTCAGGCAGAGCTCTGCCTGAAACACCCCTGTAAGATCATAGTAGAAACCATGCTGCTGAAAGCAATGAGCAGTTAGTTGATTGTTCTGTCTCTTACAAACTGTGCATTTGCATACTGATAGGGGATATAGATGGGGCAGAGCACTAAGGGCATGTCTTCCTTTTCTGATGATGATTATATGATTATTGTTATTATTTTATAGGCAAATAGCTATTCATTCTTTATCAGGAGGCTGTGATAGACTTTGAGAAAAAGAAAATTATACATATGGTGTTATATAGAACAATTGTGCTTACTGACGGGCATAAATGACAGATGGATGGAATGGACAGAACAGTATTATATAAACATGTTATCCTGTCTAGATAGATGCTGCATATACCGTCACCTCAATACTATGCTTGAGTGTGAAGAGTTTAACTAAATTAGGTTAATTTAATTTATCAATAAAAATTAAAACCAGACTGGATTCTCTAAAAATAACTTTTTTTCTTTAATTTCCAGGGAGGCAGTCAGAACTAAAACACTGATGTCAAATTTAAAGAAAGGCTAAATGTATAAAACAGTATTTAGGCTTGAGTCCAGATGTATCAACAAGACCTCCGTGGCTGCTCAATCTTGGAAGCTTCTAAAGCTCTGTGCCTTCCTGTTCAGTCTGTAGAAGTCCTCACTGCCTTTAGGGCTGAGGTGCCAAGCTCCTCTTGGGAAACTACAGGAGGTGGGCCCAGTCCCATGGGCATCCTCTGTAAATTCACCATACATACAGGTGTGTTTGGTCTTTCACAAATTGCAGGCATAATTGCTGTCTTACTCAGACCTAGCACCACCCACCTTTTTAAAAGCCTTGTGATCAGAGTACACGTCCGGGAAGTTGTAGATTGGGCCATTACTGCATTTACGCATTCCATATGGAGCAGTCACTGAAGGAGCACAGAAATAATCCTGGATCAGGAAGCCCAGACACACCCTAAGCGCAGAGCTGGGAATTGGTGTTCCCTCCTGTGCTCAGTCCTTGGCGACGTGTGTTTTACATTCCTCTCTGCACAGTGTCACAGCTTCACTGGGGAGTCATCCCTCTTCCTCTCCTGCGGCCTCTGCTTCCCATCCCATCTCCAGCCCACCCAACCCTCGCAGCTGAGGTGCCCTCGGAGAAGATGGGATGTGTATGCTTTGAATTTTTCAGGTCAAGATGGGATTGGAACCGAAGTGTCCCATTTTATAGGTAGCTGCTGCAACCAGAAGTAAAATTAAATTACAGTTCATAACAGCACTGCTTTAAAAGGAAAATGACAAATCTTGTACATTTCTTTGTAAGAACATTTTTGAGAGGAGAAATCTCTGTGCACTTAGTCCAAAGCGGGTGAAGAAACTTAACTAAGCTCTAGAGAGGATACAGCAAGTGTTTTCTGTTGGCTGGCTCAAGGTGGTTCCACACTTCAAATGTACCATCAGAGTCAGGGCAGTTCAGAGATTTTAAAAATCCTTTTCGTTCCAGTACCAGAGAGCAAGATGTTCCTGAGTCATTAAAGAAATTGCTGGAAAAAATGTATGGTCTTGTTAGGACCTATAGCACAAGTCAGCTCTAAGTACTGTTAGGTATGTTAGGGAAGCTGTCTTATTAAAACATTCTTAGGATGTCTCGTGGTTTTCTTGAGGTTGTACGTACTGAAAACATACAGGGAGCCATAGGAGCAAAGAGTGTATGTACACACCGGTGTGGAGGATAGGTTGCATTCATTATCTTTGTAATTTTAAAGCTGCAGTCCTTTTAAGACCCTGCTTTCTCATACTTTAAGCTCTCTGAAAACAAAACAAAAAATTGTTTTTTGATTCTTCTTGTTGCTTGATCTGTGCCCAAAGGTGAATTCTTTTCATGAAATTTGAACAGTTTGCTGAACTTCTTAAAGTAAAACTGATACGCTTTCCTTTAAAAATCTCTAATTAATTTTTTATTGATACAGCTGTGAAAAAGTCTGTTGGATTTTGAAAATTGGTTCAGACAGAGTCCAAATGAAGAATTAAGAACTTAACTTGTTTTGAAAAAGCTGCTTCTTTTGTCTATTACATGGGCTTTTGCACTGAATTGTCAAAAGTTATAAGAAAGATATTTTACAACAGAGACAAAGGATAGCACAATATCATTACAAACTGTAATATAAAGAATAGCAGAAAAGGGCTTCTAGATGCAACCCTCCTGTGGCCATGTCTTGAATTAAGGGCATTTAAATATCTAACTTCATAACTTCTGTAACATTTTTGTGTCAAGTGTTTTCTTAACACACGTGTATACACACTATTTATTTATAGGTTTGTTTCTGAATTTATGAGATGCTCCTGTGTTCTAAAGAGATTATGCAAGGCTGCAGAATTCAGGCCTGAGCTTTGTTTTCAGTGCATGCACGTGTCTAAGTTTTATCTTTGATGCACATCTCGGAAAGAACAGGCACGCGTTATTTTTATTGCCATGTTCACGTGTGTATGCTTTGTATGTTTTCCTACCCTGGTTAAGGACTAGACTCATGCTGTTAAAAATCAAATCTCTGATGTGGTTGCTGCCAATAGGTATTGCCAAATCTACTCAGTGCTCTTGAGTAGCTCTAGTTTTGCCTCCTTCGCTTTTGCTGTCACCTCTGATGGAATGTTATCAAGAGGCCACAAAACCTGATGAATTGTTATGTTAAAAGCCCCGGTTATTTTGCCCAATATTTTATTTTGTGAATAGTGGCAGCCACAGTGAAGTGAAGGGACGAGCCGATTTATACGTTTAGTATAGACAGAGCCTATATTGATCTCCTTTTATAGCAATAATTGCTTGTCTGGGTATACATTTTGTTTCCTGCAAGGAACATATGGAGCATCTATCAGGATGACAACACACTTTGTATTTTATTATAACAGTGTGATATAGAAAGATGTAGGGATTTGGGCCAAGAAGATGCTCCTGGCAGAATTCCAGGGAGGGTATGCGTGCAAGAGGATGGGAGAGACTGGAGGACATGCTCTCTGGTAGCGTTGGGAAGGAAAAAAAGTCATCCTTTCAGCTTGTTATTCTGACTGAGGAGCTGTGTGCTTTGCATTTTGCCTATTTTTGGTGCAGCGTTGGTTGTTTTTTCTTACTGTTTTTAAGCCAAATCCTGAATCCAGTAATGTCAGTGGGAGTTTTGCCATTGGCTTCACTAGGACTAGGGCTTAACACCTCATGAGTAATTTAGAAGCTCTCTTGTCTTTGTAAAGTTATGACACTGCATTAGTTTTTTCTGGGATCAAATTTTTGAGATGTAGTTGTTCCAAAAATGTTGCTTTCCTCTTTTTCAGATAGATCATGTGGTCCGAGGCCATGTCGCCTTCCCGGAATTACAGTCAAAAGCTGCAGCCAGGTCACTGCTCTTGTTCCTTTATCGCATATCTGCCTTACAAATGGATCATATACTCTATGCCCAGCAACGTGGAATTGCACTGCTGTATCCTTATTCTGAAACAGGGGAATTAACAGTCTGATAGTGGGTTGGAACTATTTACAAAGCCTTGCCAGGTGATTGCTCAAAGATGAAAGCTTTAAACTCCTCTCAGATACCTTTAGCGTATCTAAGTGTTAATATTAACTTTCTGCTTTTCAACTTCTTTTATTTCCGGCCCAGGATATTTCTTGATACCATAGCATCAGCCATGTTCAGCAGACCTCTTTATACCTTGGGCTAATGATGTGTCTTAATTTGTAGGTGACACAAGGATAAGATATAGCTTAATTAGGAATGCATTATTCAAGATTTTTGGAACAGTCTTCTGAAGGAAGGTATAGCCGTGGTATGAAAAGCTTCTGCATGGCAGCACGAATAGAATGGAGAAATCCAGGAACTTAAGATGTAGGAGTGAATTGGAGGTAACTCCAGGATTCCTTGAGCGGGAGGCTGTGTGCGATGTGGGATTTTAGTCTGGTCTGCTTTAGAAGTGAAAGAAGACAGTCCAGACACTTGTGTCAGATCTGGACTTTCTCAAGCTATCTTGGCTTGGATTCCTTTTAAGATGGTTCACATCACTCCCAGAGAGAATGGTTAGGCACATTGGATGAAAATGTGATTCTCTTTTAATTTCCTTTTCCTCCTTGGATTAAAGGAAAAACCAGCAAACCTAGCATTTTATCTTCAGTTCATCACTCTGGTCTAAAAGACAAGGGTCAGTCCTGATAAGTGTATGAACCTCCTGCAGTTATACAATTATTTTCAGTCCTCCCTGGGGGGACAGAGCTACCTGGTTTCTCTGGATGACCTTTTCATGTTTTGTAGTGCCCAATGCATTCCTTGTTCGTTAAGAACTTGACCAGGATTCCCAAAAATGTCTTGGACTTCATTCAATATGAAATAGATTTGTGCTTCCTAGAATTCTCTTTGTTGTTCTTTAAAAAAGGAAATCAGGAAGTAAATGTATCCGTGTGTGTTTAGAGTAAGGATTGATTGGGGTTTTTTTCCCAAAATTTTGTCTTCCAGGCCATTTTTCTGATGCCCCCCATTGGGTTTAGTCTGTAATACCAGGATAAACCTTTTTATTTTGTGTTGGAAAAAAAGTATACAGTAGCCTGCTTGTCTGTACTGAGTCTGATACTGAACTGACTGACCACAACTGATTTCATAGTGGAAAAAGCTTGGATTGTGGTGTGAATAGGACACTAAATACAGAATATTGGGAACAGAACCCCATGTTACCCGAGTGTGTGGTGTTGTAGCTTTGCATTTGAGTCTTCTGCAGTTAGTAAAACTGTGGAGGCTAGCATTGATTAAAAGAGTTATAATATTTTATAAAAAGGATAATAATATTTTATAAAGTTAATTTGCTCAATGGTATTTTTATAATGCTTTCCAGATATTACTCTTGTCATGAAATGTTTGGATAGCTATAAATTTAGTTACAAGCCTTTTATTAATATCCCCTTTCTCCCTCTACTTCTCAAATATTCGTTATATTTAAATAATTTAATTTGAACAAACAAAAATCAGGAACTTTGCAGTTTGAACTGAATATTTCTTCATTTCTTTCTACACATGGAGCACAACCTTCAGCCTTGTCACAGGGACTAGCAGCAGTAGCTATACAAGGGTGAGGAATTTTTTTAGTGAGCAGTGTTGACCCAAATTTTGGATTATGTGTTTACTTACATTAAGTCATATACTTAATAAGAACATAGTGTCTTGTTTAGGGAATTGTTGGTGGTGATCATAAATTATTTGCCTGGAAATCTCAGCAGAATATTTGAGAGAATCTGGTTTATTACGTTTGGTAAGTTCTCTGTATGCATGTAGGAATTTATATCTGTTCAGGCATTGCAAATGGTCATCAGAAGAAAGCAAAACGAGAGTTCGATATTTAACATGTGCAGTTGCATTTTACCTTTACTTCCCACACAACCCTCTGAAGAGTTGGGCTGGTTTTGTAGTGACAAAAAGCACTTGCATGCCTGGATCATTGAAACCCAACATCTGAGGTCACGAATCCATGCCTCTTGCTGCTGCCTATTGCCTACTTCTACCTTCCCAAGCCTGTCCTTCCTTTCTCCCAGGCTCCCGACACTGGTAATAAGTAGGTTCGGCCGTGGCAAACTTCTTGCTGAGCCGCTGAGCTCACAAGTTTCACTGTGCAGACTGCTGTTCCTTTGCCTCTACCAGAAGCAAGAGTTTGCAAGCTGGATTTGTCACTGTGTCAGTAATTTGTGGTAACTTGTTAGGGCGCGAGCGGCTTAGGCAGATGTGCCAGAAACCAGCTCTTCTGGCCACTTGTGCTGCAGACCAGTCCTGTGCAACCCTCCCAGTACTATTCCCATGTTCTCTTTTCCCTTTACTGGAAGTGGAGAGGGTTGAATTACATGAGGATTTTCTGGACAGCTGGAAAATTAGCATTTGGTCTAACTAATTGGCATACTCTGGGAGCAACAAACCTTGGCTTTTTTGGTGCAGTTCAGTGAGTCGCAGGAATTGCTGTGTATATAGCGGTTTTGGGCTTCAGTCTGTATGTTGTGTAGGTCTGACATCTGGCCATCACTGATACGTTAAATCTTGTATAGGTAGGCTACAGTAGGAAATTTAAAAAAGAAACAGTATCATCATTTGTGCTTTAAAGTTTGAATACTTCTGTTTCCTAGAATCACAGTTTCTAATCTTCCAGAGGAAAAGAGTGTTGAACTATTTGACTATACCTATATAGTTTTCTATACCTCTAGATGTTTACGAGCCCTTTTCTTAAGATGTAGAAATCTAAAATTTTTAGATTTTTTCCTGAAAGATACCTGCTGGCGTCTTCCAGGGTTCTTGAACAGAATGAATACCAACCTCTTGTTGCTTTCTGAACTTCTGTCCCTAATATGAATTTAACCCTGGGCAAACTTGCATTGATTTCTTCTTCTCCACTTTCAGCATAGTTCCTTTTAATAGCAATAGCTTCTGCTCAGCGCTGCAAGTCAGATCCTGCTGGTACTGATGCATTCTTATAGAGCTGAGCAGAAAAAGCTCCAGAGTGCTGATGGTGTAATACTATGTATAACATGAATGTGGTAGAAACTGGAACTGGCAAGTGTTTGAAAGATTTTGCCAGTCACTCCATCCAAATGTAGTGCTTTGAACCCATAGCTACATGCAGGGAAAAAAGAGTAAAAGGTGTGGGGGGAAAAAAAGTGTAATTCTGAGGTTATGTGGGTCTTAAGCATGTTTGGCTGAACTTCAGCCTCTTTTGTACAGTCCTTGTGTTCTGTCAGAGCTGCACGAATGGCTAATCCTTGTGAGAGCAATCAAGCAGGATGGAAATCAGATAGAAGCTGGGATGTCTGGTAGGTCTGTGGTTGAGTGAAGCTTTCCTTTCTTTCCCTTCCCAACAGTCAAGCCATGATTTAGACTGGAAATCAAATGACTTTGTCCTTAGCATGTACTGCTTATAGTGCAGCCTTCAGGGATGGAGAAAACAGGGCCACTTTTACAAGGGGGAAAAATGATTGTGACCTCAAAATTATCATAATTCAGGTCCAGGAAGACACATAAAGTACATTTTAAAGTACGTGAATAATGATGTGAATTAGTTATTTTAATGTCTTCCAAGTGTGCTTCATTTTGAATGATATCCTCTGATAGCACACACATGGTAAGGTATAATTGAAAAAACATGCAGCTGAATGGTTGAATGCAAAGTATAAATATACAGCTGCTAGCAGGTCAGAAGTCAAACTAGTAAAGCATATGCCAAATTCCCTCAGGGATCTCATTAGTGTGTGATTGAATATACATGTAGAGGCTAAATGAATATTGCTGTTTGGGTCTGCAGTGGATGAGACAATGACTAATCAATTGTAATTAGGGTTAGGTACTATTATTGACCCACATGTCTAGAATTAAATGCCTCACTTGGAGATTTCTGAGGAGTTGAAAAATATATATGAATCTGTTTATGGTAGTATCAGTGTTTGAAAAAATATTCGGAGCATAATTGCAACATTTTTTAAATGGAATGTCACTCGAGTCACTGCAGGCCAAAGCGCTGAAGAATTCATCGTTAGTCCTAAGATGACTGCTGGTCCAGGAAAAAGCCTGTTGGATATTCTGGAGCTGGGTGTAGTATCTGAACTTACGTACAATCATATTTAGGCTCGTGTTCGGCTCCTCCCTAAAATAGCAGCCACTTGCTTTCTCTCCTCCACCCTTAGCGCTGCATTTTAATCATAACACATGCTGAACTAATTATGGTTTAAAAAAGGAAAGCTGTAAGTCCAGCGTTATTGATTAATCAGAGAAATTTTTAAGCATTTGTAGTAGAATTTAATTTTCATTTGTCTGGAATCCTCCTTGTTCCTCTCTCTCAGCTTTCTTCTCTCCAGCTTTCTCTTGCACAGTCTCAGCACCTTTTTGTTAGAGACAAGCACCATCAGCCCCCAAAATATCAAACAGCTCTGGCTCACCTAGGGACCCGTGGGAGGCAGTGTACAAACTCGAGATCACAAGCTGCCGTTATCTCCCCTCACCCCGTGAAGCTGAGGGATTTGCCTGGTCCAGGGAACTGACGTGCAGACAGACACCCACCTCCCCACACTCCACCGTGCCACGGCCTTGGCGAGCAGTCAGGTTTTGCCTTCCTCCCCCTTTGTTTTAGATTTGGGATTTGCTGTTCTTTGATGGGTTTTGTGCATGTGATGGTAGTACGAATGTTTTATGTTTGATGAATAACCTCCTCTACTCTTTTTCCAACTTGTTTTTTCTTCTAGTGCTCACAGTATATATACATACTTGAACAGTCACCTGGATCTGATTAAGAAATCTTTGCCTGTGGGTTTCCTCACTGTTGATATCCATGTTTGGCCAGATTTCCATGGTAACAGATCTCCCTTAACAGATCTGACACTAAAGGGCATGGTAAGAAACAGCCTGTCTTTGCAAAAAGGTCAATACGGGGTAAACAAAAAAAAAAAAAAAAAAAAAAAGCTTGGAAGGAGTTTTTTTTCAATTTTGAGCATACTCCTCCTTAGCTGTTTAAACTATCCCATAGGATTTGGGTTTCTTGCTGCATTTCAAAGTGTGCTAAGTTTCAGTAGAAAACCAGAGATCATTGTACTTTAGGTATCGCTGCAGCCACATTCATTTTTTAAAAATATGAGGAGTATTGTGTGTCTCCCAGTATCTTTCCTAGGAATCGCATTTCAGGACTAGCAACGCTTGCTGTTGTTAACTCACCTGTCCGCCGCATTTTACGTATCTGTTGCAATGAATTTCAACATAAATTTAGGTATGCCTATCAGGGCAAGGAATGAAATCTTCTGAGGAGAGATTGCTTGGTTTAAGCAGATAAATATTCAGTAAATGCGCTGTGTTCGAGCTGTAAATTTAAACAGAAACGGAAAAGCTCCAGTGCTTGATGTTAAAAGCGGGCACAGATGCTCTCATGGTTGGAAATACACAACCACGGTGCTTCATACCTCTTTGTTCAAAGGTAAACCTGATCTGATTCTGGTTTGTGGTTTTAAAAAATGCTCCTTTTGGAACTCAAAGGGTGGGAAATATTGTGTTCTGTGCAAAGAAATTTTCAGAGCACTGCAATCTGGAACCAGAAAGAGCAGCTTCTGGAAGCTCACCAGAGAACCTCTGCTGGGGAGATTTTCAGGCCATCTTTAGACATTTGGATGTTTCTCTTCGCTGAACTTCATGGTGGTAGATCAGCCATGTCACAGCACACGGCACTGTCACTGTGCAGGACCATAACAGAAGAATATCATAAGGATAATACTTGATGGTATCAAAATACCTGGTGATTAATGCAAAAATGAACTTCAAAGGGCGTATTGTCCTAGAAGTGAGCATCTCAAGCTGTTCACCAGCACCAAAATCTGCTCTGTTTGAGGCTGAGGTAGAAAAGGGTAGGTATAAGCGTTGCAACATGTTTTAAACCACAAAGAAGGGTAATATAAAAAAAAAATAGATGAGATATATTTTGGGTCCTAATAATACCAGTGTTATTTTATGAAAGAATTAAATGCTGCAGCAGAATCAGGATTTCGTTGGTATGATGGCCGTATGCAAATATTGGTAACAGCAGTGCATTTTTTTCTGCCACAGTTATGGCTGCATTCAGGTCTTGCCTATGCTGATATTAATCCAGAGTAACTACAGGGCAGTATTGATTTATGTCAGAGTAAAGGAGGTTAAGATATAGTCTTTATTTATTAATTGCTTTTCAGTGTTAGCGTCCTTGGATGGGAGGGGGAGAAATGCTTTTTTAGAGTTATTTTTATGTAATAGCATTTTCATATTATTACATTAAATACAATCACGAGCAATATCTGAGTCATAACATAAAACTGTCAGGGTTAATCTATCTCTGGTCCCATACAATACGCTGTTTGTTCTTTATTTCTTTGCAAGGGCAAGAACAATTTATGTGGTTCTTCCCCAGATCAGGAATAACATGTTTAACGTAACATTCTGTGTACAGCTCACAAAAACAGGGCTTAGAATTAGCGCTTAAAACTTGTTACAACAAGAAACCGTAGGAAATAATACAGTTTTACTTTGGCTGGATTTGTATGTTTTCTTTTTGATCTTTGCACAGGTTGTTGGACTAACATTGTCTGGGGGTCTGGATGAACTTGCCCTTATCTACTTGGCCACGATTCAAGCCATCGCTGTAAGCCATTTTAAGTGCATAAGAATAAATTAATTGTCTCATGTTCTGTGGCAGACTGATCGTTCCCTTCTGCTAAACAGATTTCTAATAATAGATAAATTCACTTAGTGGGCTTCTTAAAGGAGCAAGATACTGTTTACCCACTTTGGTGACTACTCCCTCCTGCAGGATAATCGACAGATCGAGGAGAAAATGTTCCCCTAAGAAGTTTTCTCCTGATGGTGATTCTGTAAATGGAGCCTTTGCCTCTAGTGCAGAAGCGGGGAAGGAGGCTGGTGCTATATGGGGCAGTGCGAACAGCATGGGCTGTCTAGAGGGGAGCTGAGAGAGTGGAAAGAAAAAGCTTTGGCCATTGTATGAAGGAACTTGCACTCCCCTAAAATGCCTCAGCTTCAAATTGTTCCTAAAGGCATGGATTTCCCCTGCTTGGTGCTAGATGAGTCAGAACTCTGTGCCACAGTGGGCTGCAGTGGGTCTGTGATTCAGTTCGGAACACTGCTGACAGAACGGACCAGGTTCCGTTCCTCAGTTTCCCTGCTACCCGGCAGCAGTTGCCTCGTGTGCAGCATTCCCAGCCCCTGTCTGTGTTTCTGCAAAAGCAGACGGGGAAACTGTCTTCATGAAATGTTCTTGATGTTTGCTAACATGCAGAGATGGGTAATTTTATTGGAATACTTTTGTTTCTGCCTTAATTTTCTCTGGAACCTAGGATTTCCAGTTCACCAGAAGTTCTATTTGGAAGTGAAAACCTGGGTCAAAGAAGTTGTTTTGAAACCCTGGTGCAGGGTATTTTCAGTGGGGTGTGCTATCCCCAGGCATCTGGGGACTGAAATCCACATTCCTTTGACATCCTTTTTGTGATTTTTTTTTTTTAAGTTTGTTGAACTTGAGGTGTTTTTGCAAAACATTAACAGTTTGATGAATTGGGGAGTTTTCCTGACAAAACTCTGTTCCGTTGGAAAACTTCCAAACTCCTCTACTGGTTAAACAACAACTTTGCTAGGCTGGGTCAGCCATCTGGGATAGAGAGGGTGGGCGGCTGCTGTAAATTTACTGTGAATTGTACATCTTATGTGTTAACCCTCCCTCTTCAGCAAAGAACGAGAATTTAACCCCAGCCTGGAATTCATTGTTGTGAGTTTTGATTCTTTTTAAGCTGAATGTAGCTCGGTTATACCTGATGCTTCAGTATAATCCCACCATTTAAATAAGAATGTCGAGGAGAGTTTAAACAATGCCAGTGACTGATAGTGCTCCTGAAAGAAACTTCCCAGCCTTGAACAGGTGCTCCGTTATTATCTCATGCTAATGAAGTGGAAACATTCTCTGCTGGAAATCCTGGGAAAGTCACCTATTATCTCATCATATGATACAACGCAAATTTGATTGTAAATCCCAAATACTGTGTTCAGCACTAAATTTGGCATCTGCGTATCTTTTGGATAACTAATGGCACTGATCATGAGATTTCATATAAAAAGGCGATACCGTAGTTTTCTTTTCATTGTACGTTAACGGAAATTCATTTTTTCTAAAACACTATTGTACAGTAACTAAAAAGTAGACAAAGTAGACTTGGTTTTGGCTTGATATATTTACTAATTGCTAATGTGATACCTGGGAAATAAATTTCTCCTCCCGTACTCAGTCACTTGCAATTTTAGCTTCACTTATTTTGAAGGAAGCAGGACAGCCCGGACCCTGTACCATTAGATATCTGCAGTGAGTGCAAGATAAGCTTTAAACCTAAGTAAAAATCTTGTAAAAAGTGTAGGCCTGCCCACAGAATGGTAATCTCTAGTTTTCTTTTCCGCAGGAGATGCCTTTTTCTATAAAATTTGCATTTGAAGCCCCTTAATTTGCATTTTCTCCAATCCAGGATTAAATTAGTTCCCCCCACACCCACACTGAAATAAGACTGACTTTAATTTAAATTGCTATGTGAATACAATTTTCCAGGCAGGTAAACACAAAATAATTTTCACAGCGTGTTCTTTCTCAGGGTCTTTGACGTGTGCATGTTGTGAGAGAAGTTGTTAATAAATTTGAATTTCAGGAGTAGTGAAAGAGAATATCCTTTTAACTATTCACTGCAAAATGCAATGCAACAGTTAGGCTGATGAGAACATGATCAGAGATATAATTGTGGCCGTCGAGCCTGTTCTGAGGAGACAGACTCTTTTTAGAGCAGTTTATTTTTCCGTAATTAAAATGGTGGCTGTGTGATTTGGAAATTAGCCCTCTGTGTCAATAGGGAAGCGATGGATTTAGTCAGCTGGTGTTGCGGCTGCTCAAGTTCCTCGTAACCGCTTGCCTGAAAAACCAAAATACGTTTGAAGGCCTGTCCAGAGTTGTGCCAATCATTCATAGCCAGTCCGCTGAAACTCTGCGAGCTCCAATTTTCAGTAGCTTTTGTTTGAAGAGAGGTTTATAGCAAGCTGCAGACCTCTTAATGAACTTGCAGCATAGCGTAAAGAAAATATAAACGACAGTTTGTGAAACTTTGTCCGGATTGAGTTTTGTGGGGAATCTACCTACAAAGAGTCAAAATTTTGGCTTGAATTTAGCATTTTGTCAAGTCTGAGCTTCAAAATTAACTTCCAAGGTATTCTAAAGAGCTGGGAATTATTTTTGGACAAATAGTTTGTCAAAGAAATGGAAAATGTTCTTGCAAGAGGAAAGAGGGAGAAGGTTGACTTCAGGGAGTAGTTGGAGGCAAGCAAAGCAAACAAAAAGAGAAAAGATTTTTTTAAATGGCAAAGCATTTGCTTTCATCATTTGCGGAGTGAAACACCGAGCTGTTCTAATTTGAGTTTCTCAGAATGGAGACTATAAATGAAAAGTTTAAAAATATGCCTACATTTTAGATGTTTCAGTTAATCCAGGCATGAAATGGAACATTTTATTTTGCACAGGGCAAAGGCCAAGAGAAATAGTTAAGCCAATACAAAATTCTTCAGGTTTTCCTTTTTGCTGAAAAGACAGAAAATACAGGCTTTTAGTTGCTCCATTTTTCTTCTGTTTTGCTATTTGGCTTCGGAATTGAAATCTCTTTACTGAGAGTGATTTTCAGATGCTGTTATACAAAGGAAGTAGAAGGTTTTGGTGGGGATGCCTTTGCCACGTAGGTTTTAGTTCTGAATCTGGAAATGTTTTCTGTACTCCGCTGCACTCGGTTACAAACACCTGCTTATTGCTCCTGTCCATATGTCCTGCTGCCCATTTCTGTGTCTCCTCCTATTCCCTGTCTTCACCCCTGCAGGCATTTCCCCGTAAGCCCCATTTCCCTGCGTTCCTCTGTACTGGTACATCTTCGCTTCTTCAGCCAGCCCCAGGCAGTTCGTTGCAGTTTGCTGTGCCTAGGTACTTCTAATTCTTTGTGCCATCTGTTTGATTTTTCTAATTCTTAATTACCATGCCTGGTACTGGCTGGAAGCGAAGCAGAGGCCGTACCCCAGCAGGTCTGTTCCCAGCCCTCAGGTTACTGGTAGGGGCAGTTAGTGTCATTCTCTTCACCAGTATCATTCTCTTTAGCAGTATCACTCTTTTTAGCAAGTTGTCTGTTCTGTGACTGCTCTCCTGTGCTCATCTGGGTTTCTTTGTTTCTTTTTTTCCCCTTTGTGAAGTTAGGAACAAGACATATTTTGGAAACTATGCAGGCTGCAGGGCATCATATCAACACGCTGTTTCTGTGTGGTGGGCTGAGCAAGAACCCTCTCTTTGTGCAGATGCACGCTGACATTACTGGTAAGTTGGAGGAAGTGTGGGGAAAAGAGTGTAAACTACTTTATTTTAGGTGGCTAAATACTTTGTCTTTGGAAAAATAAATACTTTCTTTATATAGAACTGTATTATGCTGGTTGGCCAAAAAGTCTGTAATGAAATGTTACTTCCTGCAGGACTGGATTTCCTGAAATTTAAAGACATTTGAATACCACAGAGATGCGGTGCAAACAAATCTCTGTATGTCATATTGTTAAAAAACAGACTTCTGGAGAAACCTCCAGCATGATTTCCAATCTGTGGAACTTAGACTTAACAGTTTTTTTAAGAAAGTGCAATAGAACTAATTAATATCAACACTTTGTATGAAATTTTTGAAACCAGTCTGTAGAAATTACATCAGTTGTTTCTCCCTATCAGAGAGTTAAAAATTATTTAAAATGTTCTATAGAACTGATCCCATTCAGTCAGGTTACAGGACATTAGATAGGTGAGGATAATGCCCACGACATTTTGTGAGCATGGTTTGCATAAGACGTGTTTCATTAAAACCTCTGTTAGCTTCATCCTGTTTGAATTCTGTTGGACTTCTCCTAACGCTTCCTACTCATGTTGGACGTTGTATCAATTATATAGAAGAATTAGATTCTGAATTACTTCCATTTCTGTATCATTAATATGGTTTAGGGGACAGTTTCTGAATCCTTACACCTTCACGGTGTTTTTGGTTTTGTAGCATTCCTGATGGGTGGCGGGTCCTGGGTGTGTGGTTCATGACAAGCGGAGGTCTCAGGCTTGCACGGTATATTTGATGTCCCTTTAGCCTGCCTGTGTTGGACATCTTGGCACACCTGTGAATCAGTTGAATAGACTTTAAAAAATGTTTAAAAAAATAACAAAGTTTAGTGTAAAGGACTTCAGAGAAACTTTGAATGATGTGTGTTTTGGGGATATTTCAAATTAAGACCAGTTGAGGTGTCATGAATGAAGTGCTTGGAGTTGAGGCATTTGGTCTGGAGATCTGACTTGCCTTAACATCAAACCACACTTCATAACCTCAGTGCAGGAGGAAAGATGAAAATATGCTTTATGTACTTACCTGAGATGAAAACAGAATTGCAGAAGCAAAAAGCATAATGTCTATTGACCTTAAAATTCACTAAATCCATTGTAGTCAAAGTGATGCTTTCTCCTTGTGAAAAATGATGTTGTCAAGTGTTTGCCTGTCCCTTATATAACTCACATGTTTTGAGTGAATTTCAGCTCCGTGTAGAGTTGGGACGCTGGTTCGTGATGTGTAAAATAAAAGATCTGTGAAAAGGTATTCTGATTAAAATGTAATCAGAAGTTCTTTGACTGTAACTAATGGCCAAGTACAATTCAGCACAAAAAGGCCTTTTTGCAGTGTGGAGTTCTCCCCCATTTGTAAAATCAGTGACTGACAAGGGATGTCAGAGTTCATCTAACTGAAATGCTCTCGGTTGTGTTGAACTCATTAGAGCCTATCAGATAAAATAACTCACATTCCAGGATCAATCCCCCATTCTTTCCTGAAAAGAAAAAAATCTGAATATATTATTGTTAGCTGCAAATGCCCATGACTCAGCCATGCAGACATCCAATTGATAATTTCGCAGGCCACTTAAAGAGTATCTTGATCTTTTTGTTTGCGTGGTAAGAATTCCGTATTCATTCTGATGATGCGGGAAATGTGCAGTAAATTTGAGAGCACGCTGAACATCGCTTAATGCTTCAACGCCTGGCAAGCAGCTGTGTAGCTGTAAGCTTGAGTTTCAGATTTTCTGTTCCAGGTTGACCCAACTCCTGAGCTGGGGTCCATCTAAACCAGAGGAATGCTCAGGTGACTGATCCTTTTAAGGTGGATTTGTTTGGTCAGAGAAGTGTAGGGGATGCTGTAGTTACACTAGTTTGCTGTTAGTCGTCGTTCCAGCAATCAAACAACAAGGTGTCACTATCCACTTTCCCTGTCACTCTGCCTGTGCTAACTGGGGGAAGAAATGGCGTAAAGACCACTCTGTCACCTTTGTGTCATTGAAAGTTAATTGTAAGCAGCTTTACACTGCTGGAACAGTGCCAGGTTAGCGTGATGTTACTGGATGCCAAGGGTGCAAGGTGAATTTGCTTTCTATCAATAATTGTTTCTTACAGTGATAATTTTATTTCTCATTTTGGAAAGTGTGTATTTGCCTTTTCCTCTGTAGGAGTTGTTCACGGCTCACTTTAGATCTTTCAAATTTCAGCTCCTTCTAATCCGACAATTAGCTCTGAGGACACTCCAGCAGCATTTTTTGGGGCATAATATCATTGAGGCTGTTCACAGAAGGAAGCCCTCCTCCCACCACTGTGTTTGCATCATCGTCATTCATTGAATGAAATTGTCTCAGTAATGGAAATTTAGCCACATGCCAAATACTGTAGGAATATTAAATTCTTCAGCTTAGTGAGGATGAACATCTAAAGTGTAACTAGTAAAGTATTTTTACTTACGCTATTATTTTAGGGTTTTTTAAGGAGAATTAAGAAAACAGGACGATTTTTATTTGTTTATTACTCTCTTTCCTGCTGTTTTGACATTAATAATACAGGTCTTTTAGAAAACTGTGTGAACTAAGGGAAAGTATATTCATGGTAGTACCCATGGGTGATGAAACAGTAATTTTTAATTATACTTCAGAATATATATTGAAATTGTCTGTTTGTTTTTCCAATGTTTTAATCTTGTTTTCGAATATCTTGCACAATTTGGAAGACAAGATTCCTCTTATGATTTCATACATAGCTTCTGAAAGTTTGCTACTCATGTTTTCATGTCTTCCAGCAAAGCCAGACTGGCTTTGTTGGCTGTAGATTTAAAAACAAATACAAGCAAACTTTTTTTTTTTTTTGTTCATTGCAAAAGAAACAGAAAGAATACCACCCTATTTTTCTCTTGAGGTCAACTTTTAATAGGCACGTGGGTTTGGAGGGTGTGGGTAACAGGTTTATACCAAACCCTTTGAGCTAAATAGCCAGTGTCAAAGATCTGGGGGTTTGTTCTTTGAATGCTTCGTGTTCTGCATTAATATTTTGCTGAAATTGTTTTATTTAAAGTTTGCATTTTTCTTGGAGCCTGGAATCACAGAGCAGAGAGATTTACATTAATCTACGGTAGACTATAGCTCTTGAGTGGAGTTGTGAACATGGTTTTCGAGTCATTTTGATTCCTTTTTTCTTTGTATTTTTCACTTTAATTATTTGCTGTGCTGCTAGCGCAGCACTGCTTTGTTATTCCTAACCGAGGCATGGCTTTTTCTTGTACAGGCAAGCCTGTTGTCCTGTCTAAAGAAGTGGAGGCTGTTTTGGTGGGTGCTGCTATTCTTGGAGCTTGCGCTTCTGGGGATTTTGCATCTATACAGGTATGCAGTACCTGATTATTATTTTTCTTTCAGTGTTAATGTGTTTTACACTTTGGCATTTTGGCACCATGCACAGACTTTAATTCAAGTGGAAAAGTTTGTACCTTCTGCACAGCCGGACAAGAGCCAGCATTGCTTTCTCTCCACCCTCTTTTTAACTCCATGTAATTTAGGTGTATTGAAGATTCATTTGTCTTTGGACTGTAGGGACATGCAGGTAGAAGCTGCTGTCTATGAAGTTAGGCCATGTAATTTTATAGACAAAAAAAGGACTTTGGCAAGGCTCTGATCCTGCAAGAAGGTCACACTTTCATCTTGGTTATATTTGTCCTGCATTCCTTCCTTCATATTGAGGAATGTTAAACATAAGAAACAACACAGCGCTAGTTACGCAGTAGAAAATGACACACCTACAACTCGTCTTGCCCCTAGTGAATGCAGAGTTAGTGATGAGGATGGAACTTTATGTTTATTCTTGTTATTTCAATGCGTTAACAGTTGTAAAAATAGCAGTAAGGCTTTTATGTTCAGAGGATCAGCCAAAGCATGACTTACCTGCGTATGGATAAACAACAGCAGTATACAGAAACCTGAAGAAGGGTCTGAATGCCCAAAATCTTATCTGTTTCTCCACCTGGCAATTCCACTGGAATAAGACATGTCCTCTCCTCAGGCTGTGCAAGGACTCTAAACAGTACATTGCATCCACTTCGACAAAATTATTTATCAAGATGCTCCCTATGGTGCCTGTCAGGCACCAGATATTTGTAGATGAAATTTGCACAAAAGCTTACCTGGATGTATTTTCTGAAGAGGGAGTCAGCTCCTCAACCTGGTTAACTTGACACAGTTCCACTGGAATCAATGAAGAGCTCAACATAAGCGGAGGAACTGGGCTGTGTTTGGCATTTTTCCACATGTGAAATTTCCAAATGTGAGTGTACTACAGTGTAGTATAGGTTAGTAGGAAGAGCACTTTCCTTTCATAAGAATTTTTCCATTAAAGTTAATCCCATTGCAACAAATATATGGTACAAAATATATATCTGTATTTAATAGTTCTAGTGATTGTAAGGAGAACTGGTTTTGATAAATGTAGTTTCAGTGGCAACTTCTGGTGACAGGACTTCATATTTAATTCTTACTCTTCTGTTCATCTTCTGCCTGCAAATACACATATATTTCATTCATCATTAAGATGTTTTCCACTACTATGCAATAACTGAACATCACAAAACTGTTTTTATTAAGTCTGTCTTCATAACCACTAGAAAAAATCTAATGCTGGGAAATTTTCTGTGATGTGTTCTTATATAATTTTGGTGTATTCACTTACCTTTCATTTTTAAGCCTTCCCTTATATATCAAAATATTTCAGAAGCATATCCAATAATGATGTCAGAACAGATATGTATATTTTATACATATGTACATATATGTCAGTCTGCATAACACACTCCTTCAGAAGTCTTTTTCAGTGAAAGTAGATCCTTTGGTTTAGTGTGTGTTCAGTACATTGTCGTTAAAGAGGTGCCACCTGTGGCAATGTCAGTTGTATCATGCCGCAAATATTTTAGATTATGTAAAAATATTTTTAGAAGGCTTCAGATACATGAAATCTAGAAAGAAGAAACTGAATAAATCTATATCTGGCATTGCAGTTCTACAGCCTTCTCTTACATTTATTTTTCTAACGCATCTTCCAAAACAAACCTTACTTAGGGGTGTTGCTGCAAGTATTTAGCATTGTTGGAGACTCTGCAAATAACAGAAGTTTTTATCTGTCCTCAAAGTAGATGGTTTGTGCTTAATTACTGTGCTTTCTGAAGTTCATTGTTTGCTCAGCCCAGTAGTAAAGGAGAAGGTGTGGCTTTTTATCCTCTTTCCTTATGTCTGTGTTGGTTTGAAGGGGAAATAGTACTGTATTTGTCCCAGTGATTTTGGTCGTGTTTCTCAGAATAATTTTTGGACATTTCCACTTAATGTCAAAATCAAAATGTTTAAAAGCTCTCTGGTATTCGTGGGTTGGCTGTTGTCCATTTTCTAAAACTTGGGCATCTTAAGGACAGCTTGGAAACAGCACGCAAAGCCAAGATCCCTCAAAATCACCTCTGATAACCTTAGTGCAGCTTTAACATGCTCTGCTGACAAAAGGACTGGCTGCTGCACAGGCACGTAAAACCCACGAGCGATAAGCAAGAGCAGTGGTGCTGCCAGGCTTCTGCCAGGGAATCTCATCTGGAAGCACGTGCGTGTGTGCTGTGCAGTGTGTGCTCAGCAAGGGGTGCTCAGCAAGGGGTGCTCCAGGGAGCTGCGGATCCTCCGGAGCGGGGCTGTTCGGTGTCTTGTGCCTGCTAAACCTGAGGGTTTGGGGATGTAACCTGCATGATGTGTTAGAGTTGACATGCTCGTGCATTCTGTCAATTGAAGGGTTTGGGGTGTGGGGAACCAAATGTAAAGAAATTTAGAATTAATTCTTAATTCTCCCTAAAATTAAGAATTAATTCTTAATTCTCATATCTCTTTATTCTTATTTTGAGTGATTTGTGGAGTGAAGGTTTTCATGCCTTCTGTTGACCACATCTGCATTAGTAAGAAAATTCTCAGTGCACTAAGCCTGTGCAAAGAAGCACTGGAAATTAAGTTTATCACAAAATTTGTAACTGTACAGGTTAATTTGCTAGATTCTCGTGTGGTTTTAAAAGCTCAAGCCCCTTGAAGCTGCAATTTCATTTTTAGGTAATTCTACCAAGGAAAGATTTATAACCTCCATCTCATGCCTGGTCACCATATGTTGTTGCTTCAAAGAATGTTGACTTCCCTATTTTCCTCTTCATTTACTCTCTCTGCATTTTTCTGCTCTGTGGTAGAACTGAATTAAAACAATTGGTCTATCCAGAAAGAAAACAAGAACATGCAGTGTGGTGAGTTATTCCCCATCTCATTTTTGGTTATTTAGTCTCTAGAATCTCCGGAGAGGGGAGAAAATCTTCTGAATTTCTTCTTGCAATTTGGGTTATCTTTTTATTTGCCCCTACAAATGCTATACCTTTTTTCTTTTAGTGGTTTTGTTATGTTTTGATTGTTGTGCCTATGAACCGTAGCGCAGCCTGGCGGAGTCAAAGAAGACAGTGCTGTGTAAAATGGTACAACATAAGGATTTTTGAAATATACACTGTAGTTTGGGTTGTTTTGAAATATGTGCTGCACTGAATGAAATAACCTTGATATTGCTGGCTTAGATGGGCCAGTGTATTGGTTCTACCCATTCCTTTCATGCTGAGCAGCAGGATCTTGGTTTCCTATGTGATTGTTTCTGTAGTAAAAATATAGTTTCCGGTTTAGCAAGCCAGCAATTCCTTCTCAGTAAAAATGTTCAATAAATAAATGTCAAAGTTTCCAGTATATCCTCATTACTCTGCCTCACTTGTATGTAATTGAAAATGGGAAGAAGGTGCTGTTTGATTTGGCCGTCAGCCAGCTCTTTTTTTTTTTTTTTGGATAACCTAGTCTTTGGGACAAAGCTGTGCACCAGGGAACAGGATTATTGCCTTATAAAATCCTGCAGCCCACTGACTATTCCTTAATTGCATATTGAAGCAATTAATAAAATTACCTGTATGAAACCAGATTACCAGATTTATTTTGGATTTGCTGTTTTAACACGGGTCATTGTTACTGGCCAATACAGAAGAGAAGAAACTTTGTATGATTTGCTAGAATACATTTTACTGGTAACTTTCTGTAATCGGCTTTCTGTAATAATTTTTGGTGTAAAGCAGTGAGCTAGAAATTAGAGTCTACGTGACGAGCAGATTTTTCAGGTATAAAATTGACTTTTAAGGGAGGTGTAGTCTCTTCTGTGTTGGTTTTGGTTGTTATGCAAGTTGGTGGTCTGTCCTGCAACAAGATAGGGAAAAGCTGTTTTGTTGTTTTTAAAAAGCAGATTGGAGGTGTATAAAAATTATCCAGATTCTATAGAAAGAGGTGTTAGGTAATTACCCAATGTGGATTAGGCGAATTACCTAGCAGCAGTAGCAGCTGAGCAAGTGAAGCACCCCTTAGGTACAATTTGCATCCCTGGAAGCAGCCCCAGGACCGATGTGGATCAAGGTCACCTGGCTCGTGTACAAGGTAGTGGATACAGAGAGAGATATATTGCAGACAGGGGCTTGAAGTTATGGTGTTCCAGTTGAAATGATTCACTTACAACTCTGTACGAAAGGAACTCAAAGGAGTTTTGTTTCTCCATTGCTTGATTATGCTTAATTTAGTGGAATCTCCTCTCAGTTGTCTAAGGAAGGTGTTTGGTGGTATAGCAGAGGATGAAATCAAATAACAAAACCCACAGGTAACACAAGGTTTATAGAGATCAGCCAGGAAGAACATGGGATATTCAGTGTATTCACCTCACAGCAATGAAAAAGTCATAGAATATATCATGAACATAAAGTTCTTTAGTGCAACAGTTAGTCCACTAACTCGGTAGTGGAGCAACTGGCAGTTGTGAATTGACAACATTTCATAAGAACATCCATGAATAGCACTGGGAGACACTCAACATTTCTGCTGACAAAACTGGAGGGATTAGGCTATTCCCATTTCTGCATCAGGCAGTCTCTGGTGTAATTTTGTTCTACTTGTTTCAACGGACGTGCTTCAGCTGATGCTCTGATCCTCTATTCCTATTCCAAAGCATTACCTGTCGGGTCATGGATTGCAGTTAATACAAGTGTCTTGTTGATTTCCATATTTTCAAAAGCAAGAACTAAATGAAAGATTGGGGAGGGGATAGTTTTTTCCTTAGAAATGGTAATAACTTGGGAAATCAAAAGAGGAAATAAAATTACTTCTCCCTGTTGAGTTAGGGAATGTTGCCTTCCCTCATCTCATTAAAAATTTAAAGCACTCTTGTTTTTGAGCAGGGTGAATTAGTAATTAAGTGCTATAATCAACTTGTGTAAACATAATATTGAAGGAGAGCAGCAAATTAATCATTT